AAGAGCAATCTTGCCACTTTACTGTTTATTTCTTTGTTCAGTGGTTTCACAGCATTGAATGAGAAGTTGCATATTTAAACATATTAAGAATTGTTATGGATACATTTTCTGCAAGGGCTAAACAAGCCCACCAAATACCTCAGTCGGAATAGACGATCTGACTGGGGAGTTACATTATGTTTCTTTGGAAATGTACTAAGATAGTGTCTGATCGTGTGTGAGTTCTATATTTATCCAAGTACCCTAACAGCTAGGGTTTCTATCATTCCCCTTTTTACCTGAGGACAGAAGAAAATCTAGCTGCCGAAACATTGTAATTTTATTGTATACAGACGACAGAGGAAGACCAAAATACCACTTTCACAGATTACGTTTTAGACTATTTTTATAACGTTTTGCCCAATACAGAATTCTCTAAAATAAAAACTATAACTATCTATAAAATACGATTCCGTATCTCACATTATATTTGAATAGAATATAACTGTTTTCATGAAAGTAACTGATAGCATCAATTAAATGTGCGCCATCGAAAGCGTTGTGCAGTGGCCTGCAGTCGCCTTGTTACGTAGGTCATGTCACATCGATTTACAGCGCACTTTATCTAGACAGCAAGTAGACATAATGCTTAAATGAGATGATAAAGTTGCGTCATATTGTGATTAGACTGACAAGATTTAAACAAATATAATGCATAAAGCCAATACGCCTTTGAGAATCACTCACAAGGCTGTGCTTGTTCATTTTTATTGTCTGTACAAATCCATCTTTGCTTTGATGCATTTGTTGAATATTTACTTTTTAATCTACGTGAGTGATCTACAACCAATCGTTTGATTGTATTTTAGCTTGTGGCAGTAATTTCCCCCCAAAAGTGTCAAACGTATCATATAATTGTGTGGACTATAAAACTTAAAACAATTTTCTCATAATTTTTATCAACAGATTTTACATATTGTGGGTATTTAATATAAGGTTTATACTGTCAATATTGATTAGTCCTTTAATATGATTTTATTAAAATTGTAGGTGATATTAGGATTTTGTTAATTATTTCAATGTTGGTTTGTATTTAAAGAAACCGTCTTTCTATAAGTGAATATAAGACTACCCATCAATTTAACAGAATTTCATATAGTATTTATTGCAAGCCTGACATGTTTCACCTACTAAAGATCATCTTCATGGGCTTCTTTTATTTATTATAGCGTAAGCACTTGATGTTTTATAATAACATTCTGATCATTAACCGAATTGAATTTAAAAATTAAAATTATTCTAAATATATAAAAGCGGTTGTTTTCTGCATTAAAACATTAAAATGCTATCAGCTACTCGAAATAAGAAGTTAGTGCCTTAACGAAGCAGATGAAAAATTACGTGTCGCCCCGAACCAGGCACCTGAAAATTCAAGCGAATCGCTTTACTAAATCTAAAAACTCGAATTGTAAACTGAAAACCCCGGTAAAAATGTAAGCTTATGTTTACCGTGCTAATACGATCAGCTGCTTGTGGTGTAAAACGCTCGCCGCTGATGCGTGGTGTTCTGCTGTAAAGCACTTATCCAAATACATTCACTTTGAACTACAAAAGACGTTTGCACAGTATGGAAAGAGTCTTGTTTGGAACCCCAGTTCATTTTCGTGCTTTTAACGGAAGCCGCCAGGCTTCGCGTTGTTTTTCCCGCATCCATCATTCATGTGGGGTGTTGGCGAGTTATTCATATGCGCTCCTTCCTGTAGAGCCCCAAGCAACTTCGGTTTTCAATTATTCCAAAGAGCGAGAGAAAAGGAGGTAAAGAAAATAAAAACTGGGACAAATTTCAACCACGCACATACACACAGACACGCGCTGTCCTAAGGAAGGGGAAGTTAAATAAATCTATCATAGTTCAGTTTCCGTTCTTGTTTAAAAAAGAAAAAGAATTGCCAGACTTTTAGTATTTTCATAAGATTATTAACTGATTGGATATTGGAAGCTGTGTGTTTAAACTCTGCAACTATTCATGTGGGACATGACGGAAAAAGATAAGAAAGAAGAGAAAGGCATACAGAAAGAAATAAAAAGAAAGAAGAAAAAATAACCGGAAAAGAGGCTTGAAGTCCCATAAAGCTTTCTATTCATTAGCTATCGAGGAAATCTTTCTCGGAGTTAAAGCAGCTGGAACGTGAAAGTGAACACTTACCTGCATCAAGTTCTGAGGTTTGAAATGTGTAGGAAAATGTCTTAATATTCTGTTCCAGTCTTCACTTTGAATGCTGAAGCTTTATCGCAGAAGAACATACTCGGAAAGTCAGTGTACTCCAAAGTGGAGTATGTTCTTACTCATGTCCCACCGTACATAACTGTAACTTCATGCATGTATTGATCATTCCTTTCCCCTGAGAGGATTAAACGGACTGTGGTTTAACACTAAACAAATAAAATACGTAATTTGGGCTTTCGGGAATAAGCCGAGTAGAATGTTGAAGGCGTCTACCTTTCCGACAAACATTGCAGTTGCCTTCTTCATGTAAATATCTTTGGAGCTGGTCGGCAGCACTTATATAGATCTGATTGTGGATGAAATTGTTTCGAATTTAAACAGTGTTTTGTAAACTTCGAAATAATTTTTGTATTTGACGAATTCCTCTGTCGGAGCATTTTCCCCATTACCTAGCTGCGTTTTAAATTGTGTGCTAGGTATCCCACGTTAGTTATAGGTTATATGTGATGTACAGAGAGGGCAAGAAATCATACAGGCATACATGCATGCCCATGCGGTATATGAACCAGCGTTTGCTGGGCCTAGTACCATGTGCAGTCTTGTTGTAAAAAGCGTTTGGCTTGTGGGCTGCAAGGACCCCAGAATTTTATAATTTTTAAACTAACTTCGGCGAAATGCGGTGAGTTCCTTTCTAAGCGTATCTTGGTTTCGATTATTACTGTTCTGTAAATTTTTAATGTTGATTCCTACAGCAATAAATTTAATCGAAATTCATTCAGTAATGAAACACATGCCAGTTATAGTCTCTCCTGTGTAGGCAAGGCCTTGCGACGGTTTCAAAATCTCCAACAAAGAGACGGTCTGTATTCTCCAAGAACTTTAGAGCCACGGGGAAAGAAAGAAAGTGCTGGAGACGGTCCCTTTGCGGACAGCAGACAAGCAGATAGATACTGTGCTTTAATTTGGTGCGTAAAGAATGGTTTTTATTTCCCGTAGCCAGGAATGTAACCATTTTTAATATTTCGTATATGGAAGAGAACCGTCCGTTTCACGACGCTGCTTCTAGGAACCCATTATGTCGTAGAGCATGGCTGCCCGCGTGTGTCTTGCAGGTGCGTGGCCCAGCTTTTATCGAAGCATCGATAATACAGTACATTCATAGGCTACTGTCCGTACGTTCGACTCCCATATATAGAACATACTTTAGATTTTATTATCGATATATCGCTCCTCCCCTTCTTCCCGGTTCTTCGAACACCGGTCACCCTCTCGTTGAAGAGTCACAACCAGGGGTCGTGAGGCAATAGGGTAAATCGGGTCCATCACTCTGATTTAGTGAGGGGGTTGGGGCTTGCCGGGTCACGGCCGGGCGCTTCGGTTCACATATTTCAATTTTTTATCTTTCCCCGGTCGACGTTCGTAGGGCATGAGGTTTCAATTGGTCGCACACATAGTACGCATACCTTAAACCTGCATCACCCCCGAGTCACATGGACCTTCTTGTGTGTTAGCCCACTTTCCGCAGCTTATAAGGAACTGGCGATAATGACCAGTCTTCTACGTGGTTTTTATGGGAAATTATACTTAAACAATTAAATTTTTAGGAATGTTTATTATGACAGTATCATGAATGTATATTCCCGTTGACCAAGTACATTTTATAATAAGAACTCCTACGAATGTTGTCGAAGTAGCCCGTAAACTGTACTGAAACAATAATATTTAAGACTTTAATGAGTGTACATAATCTATGTATGTATCCGTTGACTGCTTTGTATTAATGACAGCAGTGACGCCAGATTTAAGTAGCCGTGTGCATTAAACCAGGGGTTCTCACCCTTTTTCGTTGGCGCACCACTAATTCTAATTTAACACATTAAATGTACCACTAACGAAATACGTTCAGGGAAAACTTATTGAAATTAATATTATCTTTTGATTTTCTTACTTAGTTCGCGTACCACTCAATATTTGCTCGCGTACCATAGGTTGAGAAACGCTGCATTAAACGGTATCTGCGAAGAACTTATTACGTCCGGTTTAATTTACATATTTCAGTATATATGGTGAGAACTTTAAGAACTAAAGAATTGATAATTATTACACATTTCTTTTGCCATTTGTGTACGTTCGTACAGACTGAAACAGCCAATATAACAAGTGCCGCAACTGGAAACGATTTTGAGCCAATTCCATCTACCTCAAATTCTTACAACCAACTTCCCTAACATGCATCTTAATGTTATATTTCTATATCATTCTCGGCGCTGTACGTGGACGTTCTATACGAGGTTTTCCCACCCGAAATTACATATGCATTTCCGGTCTCTCCTTACCCTAGCCACATACCCACCACGTCATATCCTATACTTTCATATCCTTACAATAACATGCTACACGTATAAACCAGGAAATTACTTGTTATATATAATATTCTAAACAGCTGATTTAGGGCCTACTTCATTCTCCTTGTGTTCAGATATTTCCATTGAATTTAATTTCACGTTGGACGTCCAAGATTTGTATAGAGCATATGCAGCACTGCTTAACTATTACTTTCGTAGTAAATGTACTGCTGAAAAAGTAACTTTCAACGAAATTTTGCATAGACATAAATCCTGCTGCTCTAAACAACTGGAACTTTCGTCACAGGTGAAGTTATCAATGATAGGCCTGTTCTACATGCACTCTGCTGATGGAACTACGTCTGCGTACACTTTGCTATTGTCAACAGTAGGAACTTCTATTGCAGGTGGACCTACGTCTGTGTACACACTGTTATTGTCTGTTGCAGGTGGAGCTGGCACTGGAACTCGGCATGTACGAGAGCTCGTGCTCCTACCAGAGCGCTCTGGACCTGAAGCGGGTGTCCGCCCGCGATGCCTGCCATCAAGAGCGAGGACTGCATGAGTGCTGGGCTGAGTGGCACGGCGGGTGACTGGGCCGCGGGATGTGCCTATCGGTTCGCCTGCAACTCCTCCACTTTCGAGCAGCTCAAGCAGTCTGTAGAGAAGGCCAAGGCGGCGCTCCAGGACCGGGGCAGCTACTTGGCAGCGTCCAGCGCCTTCAGCGACCTCGCCAGCTCGCCTTTCGCACCACCTCCGCGTAACAATGCTGCGACACAAGATCTGCTACAGGACACCCGAAGGGACGACGCCATGTCCTCCGTCTCCGACAAAAGGACGCACAGTGAGTATACACACGTGTCTGTGAAATCCAGTCATGTTTCAGGCCTCGGCAGTAATTACAATAATTAGTAGATGCTTATGGAGTGATGGGTTTCTGACAGTGCCTGTCTATATTTCCTTTCTCAGCATTCCTCTTATCAGAAACCAGTCAGGAAATGTACGCATAGAGCAACAGTTTTGGAACGTTCGTCAAAATTTGATAGTTTACCTCTTCGAACAGCACTAGTGGCATTAAAGTTGTCCAGAGTGCATTATATTTGTACGAGTGGCGTGTCTGTCTACCTGCACCTGTCTGGCAGGATGTTGACATCGCGGAAGATTCCTCCACGGCTGGGGTTTCCGGGGTAACCATCGTCAGCAAGTTAGCATGTGGATTCCCCATCTGGTTTCTTCCGCGCGAAGAAATGCATGTAGGTCTTCGTGTAATATGCGCGTTATTGTCCGATTAAAACTACAATTCTAATGTTTCGACCAAGTTTAGTAAGACTCCTTATTATATAAGTGTCATGAAATTACTTTCGGCTGTTGTCGAATTGTTACATGCGGACTGACAGACAGACAGATAAACATACATAACCAAGTTAATAGGCGCATTTTTGCAACTATGTTGCGACCGAACCTAAAACTTTATGATCTGAAGAATTAAAATAGCAGTCATTATAATTACCGGTATTGAACATTGTCTTTTAAAAATGCACGAAGGCGTATACATAATTTCAGTTTTCCAGAACATTCTTGTCGGTATGAAACGAAAATGAATGTAATCATCTTCTTCGTAACTAGTGAGAGACTGCAAGAAATCAGACAGACAGACATGGTCGGGCCCATAAGATGTTCTTCGCTCATGCTAGAACTTGACGTCTTCACTCGTGAAATAATAATATTCCAGCTGTCGTAAATGTCTGAGGAATACTAGAATTTCGGGACCGACCAGCTGAGGAACACTGACTTGCATTATGGTATTTTTAACAGATTTCTGAAGCGATTGAATGTAATCCCGACTCTGTTTCCGTTGTTGGTTATACAAAACAAATCACAGGTTTGTCACAAAACGAACATTTTTCTGCTCGCTTCGTTGCTGTGTTTTTCAGGAAACTCGTGTCTGGTTCAATCCCGTATCAATAATCATGACGTCGAAATGGCTGCAGCAGGGTTCCGGTGCTAGCAATTAATGTGAGGGAGGAGAAGGCCACCAGATCGAACCATCAATCTGAGAGATCAATTAGTACAGTATCCATAGCATCTGACCCTTAGTAGTCTCGCAGTGTGCAGGGGAACGCGATACTTCTGCTTGTTACAAATGTGGCCATTTATTTCTTACTCATTTATATACTTATTTATGGGTTATTTAACGACACTGTCAGTAGTTCAGACTGTATAGTGTCGAATAATAGGACGATTAAATGAATGAAAATGATGTTAGGTTAGGAAGTAAGTGGCCGTGGTCTAATTTAAGGCACTATCCCGGAATTTCCCTAGAGGGGATGAGGAAAACCACATTCAGGGTAGCCAGTCTCCGGGCCAAGATTTTAACCCAGGATCTCCTGAATATGGAGCAAGAGCATTAATCAATCGGCCTCGACTTTTGGGTAAAAAAACACGTCTATTGCATTAGACTTTATTAAACATCTTATTGTATCTTACGATTGTATTATAACGTTTTCGGTATTTTGTTAAAAGATCTGTTTATTATTGGATTATTTAATATGCTATTTCAACTGCGTGTGTCACGTAGCGTTTAATAGAATGGTTGGAAAATAAGTTGAACGATACGGTCATGGCCTAATTTAAGGCACTTTCCCGTAATTTCTATGAAGGGACTATAGGAAAATAGCCATATAAATCTCAACCAGGTTGTCCCATCTACAGACCGAGACTCGAAACCCGGAACTCTGAACAGGAAACAGAAAAGCCAACCACTGCGCCTCAACGTTCGTTGAAATAACAAAGGTCAGTGGTTTTGTAAAAAGATTTATTGTTTTACAGAAATATTAGCGTATTAAAGTGCTTTCTGCAGTATACCTGGAATTCTTAACTTCTGTTTCCGGTTCTTTTGCAGGCAGTGGAGATATGTGTATAGTCCAGATTTGTTTATCTTATATTATTCAGATACTGGCGTTAATTATCGTATAGAAAACTTGGATGAAACATGAAGTGCACGAGACATTTATAAATGAATATTTAATGATTACAAATTTTTGACCGAAAATTTTGAAGGGGAGAGAGCAATTGGGAGACGTAGGCATATATATATAAGGATAATATTGAAATGGATATTAAGAAAATAGTGTGTGAATGAATGAGTGGAGTGAATTGAACTGTCTCAGGTTAGTGTTCAGTGGTGGGATATTATGAATACAGTGATGAAACTTGGGATTCCATGAAAGCAAGGAACTTTTTGACTAGCTGTGAGACTCATTGTACCAAGGAGTTTATGAATAGAAATTATTTTAAACTAAAGTGACAAGAAAATCTTCCGTTATCTGTAACCAACTAACAAACTAAGAAACGGCATATCGAATTGACTGACAAGAGTTTCTTCAAATAAAACCCCACGGGCCTAACAAACTAAGAAACGGCATATCGAACTGACTGACAAGAGTTTCTTTAAATAAAACCCCACGGGTCAGCAGTCGTTAGGCACGAAAAGCATTATGCTACCCCGTGGACGAACCTGCAAGTGGGATTCATCAGTATAAGCGTTCCTTTTCTTCTCGGTGCTGGGTCCGGGCACAATGAGACCACATCCCAGTCGGTTCCCATGGCAACAACCCGGAAGTTCTGCCGTGGGAGGGAAAGAAGTGAGACTGGGAGGCGGTAATAAAGCAAGGCGTTGTGCGATTCGTCTTCCAACCCCCATGCACCTCCTTCCACCTCCGCCCCCGTAATCACTTCGCACCGCCTGGGAAAGAAAACTTTCTAGCAGGGAATGAATCAAAGTAAACGGACGAGGGAGCTGAAACTTCAGACGCAGAGAAAGAAAAATGATGTAAAAAGGGATGCCTTTCGGGGGTCATTAGTGGGGGCAGGGGGTTACCGAGTTTTTTATTATTGTTTTCAGGGTTTCTTCTAGAAATTAAAATAGTTCGCATTAATTAAAGGGAGAGAGATTTGGGGGTGGAGTCTTGTTTATAGCAAAATATTTCGCTAAAACTGTTTTACAAAAGTGTTATTTTTATGTTTTGTCCTTAATTAGAATTTCAAAAAAGTGAAACTCTTTGGAGGCAGGAATTTTTAGAATCATTTAAAATAAGCTGAATTTAATTAGTGTAACTTGTGTCGTCTTTAAGTGTGAAAGACGAGGGATTTTTTCTTGATTTATCTTCAAGGAAGACAATTATATCAGCAGTAAAGTTGTGATTAAAAGACGTTACCGTTTGCTTAGAATATTTTCTTAGCTTACTGTAGTGCACATAAGGTTTAAAAAATTAAATCTTCAAAATTTGCTCTCATTATGTGTTGCAGTGATGAGAGTATAAAGTGACACGGTAGATAAATGAACTAGGAGCTTCATGATTCTTACACTTTTATGGTATTAGGGCTGTTTCATAGAGAACTTTCTGATTTGTAGAGATCATGCGGAAAACATATAGGAATTTGATTTATGATCGAGTCTTATGTTATTTAACGACGTTACATTAAGTCCATCGATTATATATGGCATATGTTGAGATGAGATGGTAAGAATGCCATACATGGTGAGTATGGAAGGACGTAGGAGACAGTTGTGGCATATTTGATGATTGGAGAGAATGAGGGAAAGCACGACGAGGTTGCTTGAAGGTGACCGATAACCCGGTCATGATTTGAACCCCCCCCTCCCCAATTAGGCTAATAGGTTTAATTGTACAACTCAGTTATGTATTTCTGTACACAGTAACCACTAACATAGATATCCCTGTAGCAGAAAATTGTGAGGCTTATGTTGAGGATTTTACTCGATTCCCCACTTTGTAATTTTAAACATTTAATAGAATCACTTGTGATAAGATTAAAACTAAGTAGGTTTTTCAAGGGTTCCATTGCTTTACGTTCCAAGAAAAATTACCCAAGACGAATGTCGTCCGTTCTGAGACTTGAGTTTCTGACGGCTGTGAAGGTATCGATTTTGATCTTGTAGGCTGTGAGGTCCTGCAGTCTTGTAGATGCCTACAAACTTCTCCCCTTCTTCTGGAATTGGGGGCGATACCTTCCTCCAAAACGTTTGTAACAAAGTGCAAGAATATACAGTGTCACTACCCAGAAGACGACAGTAAACAAAAGTTACCTTCTTTGCATTTCTTTCATTTCGTAAAACGAATTACCTTGGTTAATTTGGAATACATGTCAATAATTCGCACTGTCTCCATGTTGGAATTATTAATAGTAGGGATTTAAAGCTACGAAGATGAAGTGACTTCTAAAGGAATGATATTCGTATAAGCTTTTATAAAAGTCCGACGGTTAATTCCGAAGTGTATACATGTTCACGAACACACACAATGGGATTTATATCATTGTTCCTCTGAATCAATATGAATATGTTCAAGGGGCCAACAAACACATATCAAGTGATTACAATGGACAATTTGTGACTGATACGTTGGTAATACCAGCTGTACTTCCCACTATGTAAGTTAACATACTCACTCTGATATTTATTCCAGTATTCACACAGGGGTGTCAAAAATTCATGCATTTTGCACGTATGTGGGGGAAAGAAATCACTGTTATTAAGGATTCAGAAAGGACTGAACTTGATCTAAAAGTTTTGAGATTTGGAGCAAACAGTCAACATTTCCCTATTCCACTAAGATACACACGTAACGTGTATTATGCTTATTGCTGTTGCAATGTGGTGAGACTCTCCCTGTGAAAATGAGGCCGCTAACGGGTCCATTGCCTACCCCTCCAGATGATACATGAGTGAATGTGTAGCAGCGGTGGAATGATATTTAAAAGAAAAAACTGCACAGTCCCTCCAGATGATACATGAGTGAATGTGTACCAGCGGTGGAATGA